GGGAACCCAAGAGGCCGCACGGACCGAGGCGCCAAAAGCCACGGGAAGGCCCCCGGTTCGGAAAACCAGCAGCCACCTTGAGAACCAAGGGGCCATGCACGGAAAACAACAGCCAACCGTGGAAGCCAAGGAGCCACGGCATGGGAAAACAAACCATCTTGGAATTCCAAAAGCCATTTTGGAATTCCAAGAGACAAACTTTAATTAAGGCATAAAAACAATAAAAATTACATTTAATTAAAAGATAACTATGAACTAAAACTTAGCTAATAATGAGCTAACCCTTAGTTCAATAAATAAACTAAAGACCAGCTCATAAATGAGCTAAATTTCAGCTCAAATTTGATTGAGCTTGTAAACTCAAGGGAAGCCAAAATCAACTTATTTTGGGTATGAGTTGACCCCCCCTTTGTCTACATCACTATACTACTATACTACTACTACTACTATACTATACTACAACTATACTACTACTACTACTACTATATTACTATCTTATACTACTATACTACTACTACTATACTACTATTATATACTATACTACTACTACTACTACTATAATATACCACTATACTACTGCAATATACTACAACTATACTACTATATACTACTACTACTATACTATACAACTATACTACTATTATATTACACTACTACTACTATACTACTACTATATTATATACTATACTACTATACTACTACTACTATACTACTATATACTATACTATACGATATACTATACTACTATACTACAACTACTATACTACTATATACTATACTACTACTACTATACTACTATACTACTATACTACTATTTTACTATATACTATACTACTACTACCATACTACTATACTATACTTCTACTACTATATACTATACTACTACTACTATACTACTATATTACTATACTACTACTGCTATACTATACTATTATACTATACTATAATATACTACTACTATACTATATTACTATACTATACTACTATACTACTACTATACTACACTACTACTATATACTATACTACTACTATATACTACTACTACTACTATTATACTATACTACTACACTATACTATATTACTATTACTACTATACTACTATACTATATATATTACTATACTATATTACTACTACTACTACTATATACTACTATACTATTGATGTAGGACTACATGCAAAATCAGAAACATGCACAAAATAGTTTAAGAACAATTTTAGATTTTCGTTATTCGTGATTAAAATAACAAAGTAAAACTCATAATGGTCAATTCCGTTTAGGCTAAGCTACGCAAGAGACTAAACAAAATCAAAGCACATCGAAAAATTAAAACATTGCATGTGGAGTAGTTTCCAACTTAACCAAGACATAACAATGAGATCTAAGAGCAAAGAAGTAACAAACCTACGATTACTAGTGGATGACGATTAGTAGACACAATCTCTTGCTTGAACAAACTCTCAACAAAGTAAGTTGAATTTGAAAGTAAGTGAATCAAGGAAGAATATCACCTTCCGGAGAGACGTCGTGATTCACCACGTACCTTTCGTTAGTCCTCTTCAACAATTACTACGGGAGGAAGAAATTTCTAGGGATCCGTCAATGATTGGAATCGCGCAGACGTCGGAAATTGGAGAAGAGACACGACGCCTTGGCCGTCGGATGCAAAATCGGAATCAAACGCCGAATCGACCATGCATTAATATCATGTAAAGAGAGAATGAACTAGAGAGGGAGGGAGATAGATGACAGTGCGAGGGAGGAAGAAGCTAGGGTTAGGGGAGAACTAGATGGGATGAAGAAAAATGTTATAATCTCCATATCAAAACTATTCTCAGATTTTTAGTAGAAGTTGAGAAGTTGAGGGAAAAATTTGAAATTTGAATTTCAAATACATGTAATTAGGGGCCTTAATGTAGCATTAAAGAAGGGGGACCACCAAGGGGGGCCGGCGGCATAGTGAAGGGGGAGGGGTTTTGGGGAGAGTGTAATGGGTTTCCTAATTCGCTCCGACAAATTAATGAAGAAAAATTTCAAATCCGTTTCAATTCAAATTTGAAATTGAAACCTCATTGAAACTTTCCTAATTTGGCACCGACAAATTTGGAAACTTTCACTCATCAAAATTTTAAAATTTCAAATTTGAAAATACATGAGGTGGCGGCAAAGGAGCCGGCAATTAACGGGGAAATGGGGTGGTGGTGGAAGGGGAGGCCGAGATTAGGGAGATGGCCGGCGGTTAAAGGGGCGGCCGGCGGGATGATGGGGAGGGGATGGTTTTGGGGAGGTTGAGTTTGGGTGGGTGAAATTAGGAGGTGGCGGTTAGTGGTGGGGAATGACCGGTGGTGGGCGTTGGGTAGATGGGAAAGAAGGGAAGATAAACTAAGAGCCACCGGTGGTGACTATTGGGTACTACGGGTGGCCTCTCCTAGGCTCCACCAATCTTTCAAACTCTCTCTCAAGCTCTCACACAAAAGCTTCAAGAAGATCAAATACAGAAAAAATTTTCAATATCATTCATTAGCTTCAAAAGTACAAGATGAAGGCTTTAAATAGCCTATTACAATGACTTAAAGCAAAAGGACTCAAATACCCTCAAGGGGCTACATGACTCAATCCCTCAAGCAAGGGTAAAAAGGAAAAAATGCTGAAATAAATTACATCCATAAGAAAATAAAATACACCAATAAGAAAATAACAATACTAAAATCAAAAGTACATCGGATAAATCGTGGCCGTAGATCCATGGCCATATCGACGGTAGACTTTCCAACTGATGTCCCCATCAAAGCCCTAATTTAGAACTCTCACAAACTCTTGAGAAAATAAGAATTAGGGTTTAGAAAATCATTATTAAGCTTTTCTAAACATTCCCTTTTTAAAATTTTAAGCCATTCATTCATTATGAGCTAGAAATAAGATCCCTGCATAGGCAAAGTAGGAAAAGAGGAATAGAAAGTTCCAGCATCTCCATAACAGGCATTGGCTCACCTCATATAATACTATATCAATGCTAGAAAATAATATCTAATTATATTAAGTTATTAACTACTTAAATTAGATCAGAATCCACAATAAACTAAATTATAATTAAAGCATTAGGGAATCCTAAACAAAAAACCTAGCAAGTTATCATGCTGGATAACAAAACTAGGAAGAAAAAAAAAAAGACAACGCATTTCATACAAAAAAAAGAAGAAAAAGAAAAGATGATTTGTAACTTAAGTATAACCTTTTTTGCTCGGCTGCAGTATGCTTTGCCTCTAGCAGCTGACCAGGATCTTCTTCTTGAGATGACCAAGACGGACTCCTTGGTTTTGGCCTAGCTTTGCTTGACAACCACTCATGAAATTGCTGTTCAAATATTATTACAAGTTAATATGCAGCATGCCAGCATGTACTTTGAAATGGTTTTGTGCAAGAGCATGTAGAAAGCAGAAGAATAGAAAAACACCGGAAGCCGAGAAGAAGAAGTGGGATGCGGAGAAGAAGATACCCGAGGAAGAGAAGATGACGCCAAGCAAGCAGGCCGCAGGCGACACGATTAATCGAATAGGGTTTTTTTTTCACGTCGTTACTTTGAATACCTCCGCTCGCACTCAGATGGCATCTCAGCCGTCCGTTTCCCTTTTTAGCGAACAGGCCGGTTAAAGCAAACCGGAACCGGTTCGCCGGTCGGACCGCCGGTTCGAGCGGTCCGCAGCCGGCTTTCTGCGAACACGGTTCTATACCGAACCGAAACCGGCCGGCCGGCCGGTTCCCGGTTCAACCGGTTGAACCGGCCGGTCCGGTCAGGTTTTAAAAGCCTTGGTCCCCATCAACTATAATATACTACCATACTACTACTATATACTACTACTACTACTACTATTACTACTACTATATACAACTATACTACTATACTATACTACTACAATACTACTACAACTATACTACTACTATATTATACTACTACTATATACTATACTACTACTATATACTACTACTATATACTACTATACTACTACTACTACGCACACAAATCAATCCTTACACATTTTATAAGAAAGAACAAGGATATAAATCATCAATTGAAAGTATAATTTTCATGACAATACAAGGAGAATTATACTCCCGAAGTTATCATTGAGACTTGTAGAAAGCTTAAAGAATCTACATCCAACAATATGCATAAGAATTGAAAGCAAACTTGAAATTTTTCATTCAATTGTTCAATCATCCAACGAAGCATATATACACCATTAGCCCTACTTATAGCCCAAGAAAATCCAAAATAAGTAAATTATATGAATATTCTTAGATCTAACATAATATTACAAGTTTCAATCCCAAAAACTTGAATTCCAGCAAGATCATTAAATTCCTACCTTAGTTTCAACAAAATAATGACTTTCCAATTTAAAAAATATATTTCTAGTAATATTGGATTTTCTACTAAAATACAAAAAGAAAATCAATCAGTGAACGAAGCTACAACACCGAATAAGCATATAAGACAAATCGAGAATTGCTTTAGTTCCGATTACGGGAATAGAAGAAATTCTAGCAGCCGGCATTGCTACAGTGACTTGCATCCAAGTTAAAATAATTTATGGAAACATTAATAATTTATGTAAACAATAAACCGTGAAGTTCCAAATTAGTTGATGGACAACTCAGAAGATCAATTGTGTGCTAAAATAGGAAATCAGATACCAAGAGTTTAATTGAAATAACTTGTAGTAGTAAGCCAAAGTTAATAAGGTAATCATTCTGTCGGATAAAACCTGATACGAGAATTTGGGTGCAAGCAACTATTTTTTGGTGAACAAATCCATGAATAATTTTATATCACACACTGATAAATTAATACTCTAATTTCTTTGACAGCTCATGACAGCAATATAAAAAAAATTGAAACTATTAAAGCACAGATAATGCTACTTATCAAACAAAATAAACATAATTTGAGCAAAAAATAGTTTGGGCGGCAGTGAATTGTAAACAAAACAACTCTCTTACTATCAATTCATGCTCCCATGTGTAGGTGTGACTTTTCTTTTATGCTTTTCCAATGTTCTAGATAGTAGACATGCTCACTTAATATATCAATGAACAAGATTATTGCCCTATAACAATTAAAAATCATAATGATAATATATTTGGCAATTGTAAAATTGCAAATCATAACCATTTCAATTTATAGTTTGTAATGGAGCAGGAAAGAAGAAAATAAGCTGGAAGGTAACCCCATTGCATATCAGTATGACAATAGCAGTAATTTGTAATAGAATAAAAAAAGAGTATAACTCTTCTGGGCGACTGCGAAAAATTGTTCATTATGTAGGAAAACCACGTCACGCACTGTTTCCCTAACCTGTTGGACAAAATGATTAGTCATTGTTAACCACTGAAACAAATAAAATGATTTGAACATTAAAGATCGCATCAATTTATTGAGAATTGATAGATTGTGTTTTTAATACCAATTCCATGACAAGATAGATGACCAAGAAGAATATAGATGAGGCGTTTTCAACAGGAAATCATCCATATGCTACCTAGCTCTTCAAGTTCTTATAATGAGCCATTCGTGGGGCCACAGCCTAGTTTAATGTAACATGTGATTAACACAATTAACGATGAAGAAAAGTGATTCAGATTTCAGCATGAATAAATAAGGGCCAATGAATTCTTAGATTCACAAAATTTTATCAACAAGCTGTAAAGCCTTCCAAAGAAAAGATACACATCATACACCATAGCTTAACTTTGATAATACAATAACATCAACATCAAGCCTTTGCCCCACTTCACTATGATAATAATAATAGTAATATAGTTAAAGGCTACAACGCATCACCAGGGCATGATCATCCGGACATCAATGATAGAAATGCCATAAAAGATTGCATGAAAAATAATCATACCTGAAATGAGATGCCATAAAAGATGCATGAAAAATAATCATACCTGAAATTCTTTTATGAGATCCATAGTAATCATATCTATCATAGCCAAATGGCCCTTTCGACCTCCAACAAGCATATATCGGCCACTCAATGTATAATCCAATATGTACAGACCTAAATCTGCAAGTTTATTTCAAAAGAAATGAGAACTAAAACAGAAAAAAATATATATATAAAGAAAGAAATTTAGGAACGTGACCAATCCACTGCATTTTATTTTCAGAATTTGGATCGTCAACCATGATCTCAGTTGCTTGAAGAATCATTTCCATTGAAGCAAGAAAAGCCATAGGGAACGTAGCCAATCAATGATATTGCTAACAAAATAATACTTGCAATTAAGGTGTCCTTCGGTATCACTTTTAATTTTGTCAATTTACTATTGGAATTATTTTTTTTTCTCCGAAATTCCTTTGGAGACAGGAAACAAAGACATTTGCTACAGCATTTGTTTGTTGTTGCCAGTTATTCAAAACAGAAAAGAAAGCAGAAAACAGGTTTAGGGTGCTCTAACAATTTCAAAAACATATCATAATGAGGGCAAATTATTACGTCCGGTCACCTGACCTATAAATAGGTTCGGACATCCAATAAAAACTAGCCATGTGGACTGCGCTTTGACTGCACTTTAGGTGCGCTTTGACTGCGCTTTTTGAGTCAAAGCGGAGTCCACGTGGCAAATTTTTAGTGGATGTCCAGACCTAAAAATAGGTCTGGTGACCGAACCTAATAATTTGCCCATAATGAGGGACTAAAAAAAAGTAGAGAATACATAAAGAAAAGAAATAAGGAAAAAATATTGAAGAAAAGTAAATCCATGTTATTGGCAACAAAATAATACACGCAACTATGGCGTTCTTTGGTATCGCTTCTAATTTCTATAATTTGGTTGTGAAATTTTATTGTGTTTAATCAAAGTTTTGAAATCATCATAAACAAAGGTATGTTCGCTACAGCATTTATTTATATTTCAATTTGTTCAAAACAGAAACAAAGACCAAAGCAAGTTGCTAGTTTAAAATATTCCAAAATTATGGAAACATATTAGAAAGAGGAAAGAAAAGAGAAAATAAAAAATAAATTGATTAACACGTTCTACTCCACTTAAATACAAATAAAATTATGGAAAGTTTATGCAAACCCTAAGAGATAAGCAAAAGTAGGTTTTAGTTTCTACCTTTCAAGACCATATCGAATGGTTTCCTTGAACCAATAATATCTACTTCTTGAAGGATAGTTTCTTGCTTGATCCTCCATGTCTTTTCTAGACATTCAGCCTCCAAATAGCCGTGCTCGATAGGTAAAAGCCACTATAAAATGTTTAAGATAGTTATTATAAATATAAACTGTTATGACCACTTTCTAGGAATAAAGATAGTACTTTTACAGAAGAAGATACTAACGAAATGTGAAAACTGAATTGCAGAACCCTGTTTCAATTTCTTATCATATAATCTTCCATTAGACGTATTGGGATTCAATTCATCATCAAAGCTCTCCCACCAATCTCAGCCTAAAGTGTAGTTTGATTCTTCACAAGTATGGCACCTACAATTCATTCATATTGGAATCGGGCAAATTTTTCGTACAGCTCACTGAGAAGTTATTCAAGTTCAAAAAAGTGTTCAGTTACAATTTAGGTTCGAGAAATCTAAATTTTTTTATTTTTCGTTTATATAGTCAAGTAAAATGCAAATATGTTTTACTTTACTATTTTATTTGGACTCATTCGCTTCTATGAAATTAATAGAAAATGTAATTACCAAGGGAGCTGAAAATAAATGCAAATCCCCTGAAAGCTCACTTTGAAAGCCTACAGCAAATTGTAGAGAAAAAATCTCCTCACACGTGATGCAAGATTATTCTCTTCCCTCTCGAAGATTATTCTCTTCCCTTTCTCTCAATCAACTCTATTCCTCGTGCTACCATCCTCTGCTTCTTGTATTATCACCAAGAGTGTCAATGAACCGTCACCGATTTTCCTTCCTCACTGAAAGACAGGCTTATAAGGTATTTTCATCCTCTTTCTTGTTGGTTCTAGTTATCACTTTTTTTTACTCTTAAAGCTCAACATCAACACCTGAAATGTGTCCGATTCATGAAATATCACCATTCCTGTTCTCTATGGTCTTATTTCTCTTAACTTTTGCTTGAGAAAAATCTATGTTACTTAATATTGAAAGAGTTAATTTCTCTGTTTTATACTTTTTAATCATTTTGTTTGCTACTCGCTTGGCTTCCTTTTCTCTGAAAAAAAAAATCCCTCTTTTTTAGGCACCACTTGTTTTGAAGGAATTGAAAGAGGCAAATACTACACCTAAGATGCCAATGAGCATGCTTGTATTAACTTAGAGTTATAACTTATTTTTTTCCATTAAAGTATGATTTTAAATAGCTTAATAAAGTGAGTGATTAAAATTATGAATCTTTTACCAGAACCTTTTTACTAGATAACTTGAGAAATGTCAGCATTTAAAATAATGATCTTTTTTTATTCACGTTAATAGAATAAACGATTTCAACACATTCAAAAATTTCATTTATTGACTTTTCTTTGAACCCTGTTTGATTTTATGTAAGATTATTTTAACTAAACTTTATCCTCCTACTTTCAAAAGGAATGTATCATTCATGAGTCGTCCTACATTCATACCCAACAACAAATCGGAGTTCCAGAAAGAAAAAATGGTCATCTTCTGGCCTCCATCCATGCACTTTTATTCCACCACCAAATCCTACTAGGGGGAAGCCCTTTTAACTGCCACATATCTTATAACTGGCTACCTTCAACAACCTTGGGACTAAAAACAATAATGGATATTATATCCTCTTTTTACCCCAAATTTCGAACCCATAAAAACCTTACACCCATAATTTTTGGGTGGACTGCTTATGTTAACATTCACAGTCAAAATAGAGGAAAATTAGATCTAATAGCACTCAAATATATCTTTGTTGGATATTTATCCACCCAAAAAGGCTATAAGTGTTATCATCCCTCTACTAAAAAAACTCTTGTATCTGCTAACGTTACTTTTGATGAACAAAAATCTAATCTCACCAAACCTTATCTTCAGGGGGTGATTGGAACTGAAGAAGATGAGGAAAGTGAGTTTGCCCCTCTTGACATTTCAACTCCACCTCAAATCAATCCACCTAAACCTGAAATCAAAGCCAGAGAAACTGAAAACAAAGTTATTATGGATAATAAGAGGTTTGGGAAAGTGTATTCAAGGCATACAAATCTAAATTATGCTCCAGAGTAGATCCAAGAATCTGAACCGCCTCCTAAAATTGAGGTAAATACAAGTTCACCAAAAAAACTCCCTTGTACCCCATAACCAACTTTGTATCATTCCATAACTTCTCACATTCACACAATAATTTTCTAGTTACACTAAATGATATTTATATTATTAATGATATTTCTGAAGTCTTATTTGATGAAAATTGAAAAAGTGTCATGAAAGATGAAATGCATGCCCTGAAAAAGAACAATACATGGGAGATGATTGACCTACCAGTATGAAAAAAACTAGTCGACTGCAAATGAGTGTTCTCAGTGAAATACAAATCTGATGGTATATTGGTAATGTATAAGGCTGGACTGGTGGCAAAAGGGTACACTCAAACATATGGGATTGATTACCAGGAAACTTTTGCACCTGTTGCCAAAATGAACACCATGAGGATCCTGCTCTTACTAGTAGCTAATTATAACTAGCATCTAGAACAATTGGATGTCAAAAATGCATTCCGAATATCTGACCTGATTTTAGTTTTGGGTAGTGTTCGGTTCAACCCGACAACCCGATATTGACCCGAGTTTAATTTGATTTCTTCATTAATATTGTGGACTTAAACAATAAAATAAAACACAAAGAGCGGTAAACACAAGCCTAGGCCAAGTCACTTGTGAAAAGTAAAATCCACAAAATAACCAATTACTCTTGACGTTACATACGAGATAGGTTTCAACAAGAAATCCCTAGTCTAACAATAAGAGTAGTGTTATGAAAGATCTCTCACACAACTCCTAATAAGTACTAGACTTTAGCGGGAAGGATTAACACAACTTTCCATGAGTCAATTAGAACTACAACTGAGAGCGACTAAAAGATAAAAGAGTAGGAGGAAAAATTGCCCAAATAAACAAGACAAACAAAGCTCTGGTGTGGTGTTTATGTGCTTGAGAGGAAGTGGACAACACGTAGTGGCTTCTTAGGCAGCGGGACAATGACAAATTCGGCTGGAGTCTTTGGACAGCAGGTTGGAAGCCTGGGGGACAGATTCTGGACAGCACCCTATGAGGTTCGGCAAGCTTTGGACTGCTCTTCTATGCTACCAGAAGCTTCAGACAGCAAATTATTGCCTTCCAGGTTGCTGGACAGCAGTTCTCCTGATTCTGAAATTCAGGAGAGCAACTAGATCCTGTCCCGAATTCAAGAATTATTTCTGGACAGCAGCTGGTCTTCTCTTGGACAGCAGTGCTCTCAGGTTTGGAAGAGAAGACAACCTCTGCTAGCATCCAAGAATTTCTGGACAGCAAGTAGACCGAAGAGGAAAGGTTTCAAATCTGAAATTTGGATGAAGAATTTGAATGGTTTCCCTCTCAATCTCCCTACTCCAAGTTTGGAAAGAAATTAAATGGGGAGGGAGGCATGGGGCCGGCGGCATCCATAGGGGGGAGGGGATTGGTAAGAAGAGTTAATGCTTGCATCTTTGGGACTTAATGATGAATTACTTCCAATCTAATTCAAATTTAATTTGGATTTGATTGGATAGTTTCCTAAAATAGAATTTTATTTTAGGAAACAAATTGAATTTGGGGAGAAGAGGTTTGAATTATTTCCAAAAGGTGAGATTGGGTTTAGGAAATAAATCCAAGGACTTAATGATGATGGGGTCGGCGGCTTAATGGACTAGAGGGGGGTTTAAGGAAGCTTTTAATGATTCCTTAAATTAGGGAATCAAATTTGGGATGAGATATTTCATCCTAATTTAAATTAAAATCAATAGGATAGGATTTGGGAACTTTCCTAAGATATGAATGATATTTTAGGTAACTTTTCAAATTCAAATAAATTTGAATTTTGTAAAGTTATTGAGTTACCTAAATTATACAACCCAATTAAGAAAGAAGTAATTGTAGGCAATGATTATGGCTTTTGCCTTATTAAATATCAATTATTCCTATCAAATTTGAATACAAGCATTGATTTCTTAATCGAAAATGATCTCAGGTACACCTGGGATGTAATTAGCCCTAGGAGCTTACACCTTTGAAAAACCTCAATCCCCATAACAAAAATAAAACCTGTTTGGAGACATATTTCTTATAGGGGAAATCTCTAGAGCATAAACTCAATCTACTTTCCATTGATCTTTGTGGGCCCATAGAGTGCATCAATCAGTTTATGATTGGTCCTCTATTGCAGTTTTATCAAATTATTCGCCACTTTAAAAGCAATCCAAAAAATGCAAATGACTTGTAAATTGGAGGCTTATAAGAGTAATAAGAATAATAGAAAATTTAAAGCATATAATATGGTATATCCAATAAAGTGTATAACAAACAGTTGATATATATATATATATATATATATATATATATATATATATAAGCTACACAAGATATCTCTAGCACACATTGCACTCATAAAAGCCTGTCAAAACATAAATCATAGAGTTTCTCATGCTTATAAATTAAAACATGTAGTATTAAAAAAGGCTAATTTACATGAAGGAACATGCAAGGATGATAAGCAAACATGCAATAATCTCAAATGCATATGAAAAATCATATAGGATCACTTGCATAGGGTGTGAGTTGGATCACTGCACATTTATATTAGTTCTTTGCTCAAATGGTTACTCAATAGCCGAAGGTGTATTCATTGCTGCTGGTGCTAATTCCAAATATTATTGCTACTGGCATTCATTTGTTGTCGGTGCTTACATCCCTTAGTTGTTGTTGATTCAATGAGTGTTATCCAACAGAAGAAGAGGTATAAAATTGTAAGAAGTCTTATGCAACATGAAAGAATGCTCAAGGCACCTTTAGTTAATTGATACATCATTAGGAAACCTCAAGAAAAAATTCCTAAACTCTTCTTAAATCATCTTAACCTCTTATTATAGACTTTTATCATAACGTTCAGAGATCAAATTCCTTACACTATTATGCTGGTTTATTATAACAAGGGTGCTAAATAATTTGGAGTAGAAGTATCAACAAATATGAAAATAATATGCTACAAAAAAATAAAAGAGAACGATAAAGCACAAATTGCTCAGATAAATGACTCAACTTCAATCAAGCCTATGTGTATGGAAGAGGAGATGGAGAATCAAAACTATTAAAAATATAGAAACTACAATTCTGACTTATAAAACAAGAGCACTCATAGCAGTACACCGACATACAAACAAGATAAACCCACAATTACTCTCGCAACTAAAATTTTATCAAACACAAAGCCTTCTTATACAAACAATCATGAGGTCTCCAAAAGGAATGAGAGATCTCTAATTGGAATTGGATTAATTATTTTGTGCAGATGTCAAACGTCGTCTGGAGATCAACCAAAATTCGCTGCATCACCCATGCGTTCGGTACTGCTGATGTGGCGCATTCTGATTGATCTCCGTACGGCGTTCTGCGTCCAATCTCTGCACAGAAAAATCTCTACTCTAATTGCCTGTCTACAAAATCCTAAGCCAAAAATATACGTTGTGGAAGCCATCTATATATTACATATGATTTGATAAACCCTCAGAAAAATACCTGCAGATCCTAGCCTAAGAAATTAAGGTCGCGATTCTTGTAGCGATCACAAATGCAAGCAAATTAAGAAGTTTACATGATTCCCGAAAGGGAAAAGAAAAAAAAAACTGAAGCAATGAAATTCCGTATCAGAAGACACTTCAAGGGAATATTCTTCCTAAACAATTTTGCGTCAAGTTCACGAGAGAACAGTAAAAGATTGATACATTTCAGCAAAATGTGAGTTTCCTTCAAATTCAGACTCCTGAATGGTCATGCTTATTTTTGCCATAATGAACAGTATATATATGTCATCATATTTATGTACTTTTCAAGTTGATCTGATGCGCCAGCATGCACTCTGCATTATACATTGTCATTTATTAGGTTCCTGATAGGAAATACTTGAGTTCTCAAATAACCCTAATGGGAATACTTGAGTTCGCAAGCAAACCTAACAATAATGGGTAAATTCAGCGAGAAAAATAGAAGAATTTGGGTGGAAGCAATCAAAATCAGTAGATAATTTTATAGAAATCAAAGTGAAGCAAGAAAGAAACAAAGATACAATTGATCCTCAATTCGAGAGGAGGATCGTTCTCTTCCAATCTCTAGACGAGAAGCCTAGAGCCCAAGACACCAAAGAGAACTTCAAGAGAAGCAATAATATGCATGCCCTAATCCTAGCCTCTCATGTTCTTTAAATACAATCCTTCCTAATACAAATTAATTTCAAATTGCCCTCCTCTTGCTTAAACCGCCCTCTCTCTCTCCTATTGCCACCCAAGGAGGTGGGGCCCACATGCTTAGGCAGTGGGGTTTAGAGTAGGCGGCTTAGTCCGCCTCCTATACGTCTGAACCGGCCCCTCCTAGGCCGGTTTGGGCTGAACCGTAATAGTTCCATTGCAATTTTCTCTGAAAAAGGAGGAAATAATATTTATTAATTATTAATTTCATAAAAGATTCAGATAATTGTTTTACTCGGTAATTTAAATATATCAGAAAAAAGTTTCAGTCATCTATTTGAGTTTGTCCATATTTATAACCTATATTCAGTCACAATAATTTAAGCTTCGTAACTCAAAAGTGGAAAAAATAATTTACTTTAGGATTAAATTATTTGATAGCCTGCCATCCACTTGTCCTTATGATTCCGCTTCCGGTATCCACAACCAGCTGTAGCCTGTAGTCCATCACTTCCACATGCATATAAATCAAATCAGATCATGCAACACTTTGCATCAATAATTACCTAAAAAAGTAAAAATAACGCAACAGGCTACTGGCCAGATTTCAAAAGGAGAAACAAGATGATGTGACGTTCAAGTTGCAGCATTTTCATGTCACAAAGTAAAAAAATTTAACCATTCAACTATTCAAGAGTAAATCTGTAAAGACTAAAGAGAATCCTTTCAATGGAGTCTTGCGAGAGGTTGATGTATAGGGCTATTAAAAAAGTTCTTTCTTGACATTTGATTGTGTTTGGCTAGACAATACTACTACTACAATAACAACAACAACAAGTTTTTATTCTATTATATAAGATCGGCTAAATGAATTATTTTTCTGCATTGTGTCTTATTAAGAGTTATCATTATTTGAATCTAATTAAAAAAAAAAAGATCTTTTTTAATATTTTCTAACCAACTTTTTTAGGTCTATCTCTATTTTTTTAACAAAAGCTGGATCTCATATAACTACTCTCCTAACAGGGTCATCAAAAAGCCAACGTTTTATGTGACCAAACTATCTAAGATGACTCTCACTAATCTTATCTGATACTGGAGCTACTCCAACCTTTTCACTATATACTCATTTCGCATTAGTATAAAACCACTCATTCACCTATGCATCCTCATCTCTACAACATTTAATTTTATGCTTCCCTTTTAATGGCTAACACAAGTAAAGCCTAATGAACTTGACAAAAACAGTGAGAACGATCAACCAAACCAAATGAAAAATCGGAAAAATGGTAGTTTTTATTAGAATAATCAAACTAACGGAAAGAAAATAACAAGATACAATTGATCCTCTATTCGAGAGGATGATCTATAGCCCAAAAACCTAAGATATCTCAAATTTCAACCAAATTCAAGATACCCTAACCCTAGGAAAACAAACCATTTAATGCATACAATCCAAAAGGAAATATCTACTAAGCTATCAAACTCCTTAGCCTTTTCTCAACCCATTTAATTTATTGAATATATAAAATATTTATCTTCTTATGAATCATAATATCTATTAATTTCATTAATTTGCCTATAAGAGTATGTATATTCCTATTATTCCAAGATATTATCATAATTTTGGTTTTGAGGACTAGCTTCTTTGCACACATTAATCCATGATGTGGGAACCCTTGCTTATTTTGCACTACACCCAGCACCGGTACAGTGGCCTTTGCACACTTTTCACTATATTCAAGTTATACAATGTGTCGCTTTCAAGAAATGCCTAGCATTAACACAATGTATTAAAAGACTCATGTCATGATTATTTGACAAATTTTATGCTAGCTATCAACTACCTAATGCATACCTCTATTTTTCTCATACAAAGTTTGGGATCTAATAACTGCATTGTTGTGTTTGGCTAGACAATAGCTTCATAATATTTGCACATGTAAAAGATGCATATAAATATATGTTTAGGTATCTTATATATGCTCATACATGTAAATGTGCATATAAATATCTATACTATATATAATCATATTCATATATTTATATTTGTATGAATGTAAGTACACATGGTCAATATGTAGGTTATATAATAAATATATGATTTTAAAGTAGACATTAGGTTCATGAATAGCGCTAATTCGGCTTGATACTAACGAGCTAAACGCAAACAAAAAATTTTGGCTCTTTTGCAATGAGTTGAGCCAAATAATACTTGGAATTGCTCAAGCTCAAGCTCATTTACACTCCTATTGCTCTGCTTAAACTTTTAAGTCCCTTAATTTTTATTTATTTATTATTTTTGGAAGTCCCTTAAATGTACTATATCATTTGGCAGTGAGGGAGACATCACTAAGGCATTTTATAGAATTTCTAAAATAAAGATGGAGCAGATATTATGAATATAGTTGTGTGATTTAGCTAACTAGTAGTTCCTTCTCTTATAATTGGAAGCTGTACTTCCAGTGCTTAATCTTCCTTCCTTACCTGTCATGCAACTGTTGAATACACCTAGCTGACTTCATGTTTTCTTCTTTAACTACAACTTTGGCTGCTATAAGTCGGATGGAATTCAATTTGACAGATATATCTGATTTTACAAGAGGTCTTCAACTGGAAAATTTAAACTACCTGTGTTATAGAGAACCGTATTTCATTTTCATTGAAGAATGAAAGACCAGCAAGGCAGTGGATACTGTGTGTAGTGTTCTAAGTGATGGAACAAATGCTGCATCAGCTTTCTGCAGCGAAGAGACTGCCAAGATGAGAGTGCTTATATGTCTGCAGAAGAATGGGAGACTGTTAAAACTGGTTCTGAAACAAAAATGAGGACCTGCCTGAAAAAGTCAAAACAAGTAACTAGTATCTTTCTGGTTCATATCCGTTTCAAAATTGGAAGCATTCAAATATGAACAGCAATAAGCAATGGATGAAACTAAAGATAAACTTAGAGATAAAGAGCTTCCAACATTACAATAGTTTGAATCCATGACTAGCAGAACCTGCTGATGACATTTACTGGTAACCAGTAACTAGTAACGTCCAACCACATTCAATATGGAATTTCTTCAAGGAAAAAAGCATTTTCTAGTTTGGTGAGGTGAAAAAAACAAATCAATCTCTTACCGTTGGTAATTATCAAATATCAAAGAAACCAGAGTTTGAAGGGTTAGGACATGAGTGTGATGATACGAAACAATATGGTTGGGTTAGGTTGTTTAGTAGCACGGTAGAACACCTTCCTAATTATTTGGCAAGACTTCGCTGCCAATCCACTGCAAAAATACGTTAAAATGCCACTGCCTAGGCCATGCTTAGCCCAAGCATGGCATGGGAAGCAGCACAGCAGTGGGACCAATGCCGCTTACTATTCTTATGCAGGAATTCGAAATCCCAACTCTCAGTGCTATCTATATGAAGAGTCTCACAGGCTCCTTTATATTCATGCTATTTTGTGGTTGAGTGGTTGGGAGGCTTTGCCACCTTGCACTCAACCCAAGCTCAAGCACACTAACAGCTAACAAAATTGGCTTCCAGTGCTCGCAGCTCCTTAAAAAAATGAGCATCCTCATCTCTGCCACACTTAACTTAGTATTATGCTTCTCTTTTAATGGCCAACATTCGGCACCATAAGCATTGCAGGCCTCACTACCATCTTATAGAATTTTCCCTTAAGTTTGAGGGGTACATTTCTATCACATAACAAACCAGATGCATTCCTCCACTTTAACCATCCAACTTGAATTCTGCTGATAATATCTCCATCTATTTCATCATCACTCTGAACAATAGATCCAAGATATCTAAAACGTGTACTCTTATTAATGACTTGATCACCCAAAGTCACAATCCCCTCACTAGGTCTATTACTACTAAAATTACACTCTATATATTTTGCTTTAGATCTACTCAAGTGAAAACCTTTAGACTCTAAGGTTGACCTCCATAATTCAAGTTTACCTTATCCTTCACTCTAAGGTTGACCTCCATAATTCAGGTTGAAAAAAAAACTATCTAAATAGAAAAAATTAAGATTATTATTCACATTTACAGCTGCTTATCATGAACAATTTCACTTTGTAATGTTAAATCGCAGAGCATGGCCATGATTTATGCGAGTAACCTTGTTCCCGGGATTCGAGATCATGTGCAAAGGAATTTTAATGGCTACACATTTCTATCAAAATGTTGATGATTACAATCTTTTATAACACTAATCTTACCTTTCCAAAGATTTATTTGGTGTTGAAAATATGTTGTGTTGAAGATGATATGCCACATGAGTTGTGAAATGAACATGATATGCAACATAATTCATCTTGAAAATGCATCAACTTTTTTGGTGCTAAGAAGTATTGCTCCTTTTCAATGAAAAAAAATTTTTATGCTCTGACAAGCCGACACAAATTTAACATCAATAGTGTAAAAAGATGTGAAGTTAGACCACCATATTCTCGTCTAAAGCACTATCTTGTACAATATGCCACATATATTATATGTTGAAAATGTGTTTAGTTTCTTTTTTCTAACAGGCATTGCTCTTTTCAATGTTGACATAGCAAGTGTATACACCTTTTACCTATAGTTAATCCTAGAAGTGCAGTAGAAATCATGAACAAAACATAACCGTTCAGCAAATACTACAACAACACATTAAATATTCCATGATGAAGTTAAAATGGTTTAAGTAGCCGTAACAGCTTGCACTAGCTGCAGCAGTAACCATTGAAACTATGATACTTAAATGTTATGGTTGCTATGGAATTTCTTATAATTTGTAAAGACTCACCCGGCAAGTCTTCATTGCCTAAAGATTGCAGGAACCGTCTCCTTTCGCTCTTTCTGCTCGAGGGTTATCGCCAGGTAGGTTAAGCAGGAGCAGCAAACGCCAAAGCTTTTCACCAATAATCCCCACAGGAACACTTCCCATCTTTGAAAAGATGAAATCTATTGGTATCTCTCACAAGTATCTCTCTCCTTTCAAATTCTGATATGAACTTTATAGCTACATGGCAATCGCCACATATCCTAAGATTCTTTATGACTCTGAGAGGAGTCCCTGGACAGGTGCTTATAAGTCCCAATGCCACAGCCAACTTCTCACTGTGTCCGCAAAGCATCTCCTCCTTATCCTGTTCCTCGACATTTTGCAGCGCAAAGTTGGTGCTCGGTTGATAACCAAGTCTCTTCATGGCAACCCCAAGCTTTTTCAATCTCTCCACAATCTGCTCCATTTCTGCATGTGAGCTGTCTCCAGCAAGAAGCATGTGTACCTTGTTCTTGATCTCAATCCAGCTGCAGCCAGGGTTCTTCTTCACGCCCAATCTCTTCATCTCATCCCTTACTCTATCCACGCCATCCCATATTCCATTCGCCGCATAAATGTTCGATAAGAGAACATAGTTCCCGGCATTCTGAGGCTCAAGTTTAAACAGGTTTTCTGCAGCAATTTCACCAAGTCTCACTTCTCCATGCACTCTGCAGGCACCGAGAAGTGCTCCCCAAACACAAGCATCAGGGTAAAACGGCATCTCTCCCATGAATTTGTAAGCTTCATCCAGCTTGCCAGCTCGACTTAGGAGGCTAACCATGCATGCATAATGCTCCATCCTCGCAGCAATTCCATATTCCTTCTCCATCTTGTGGAAAAACAACCACCCTTCATCTTTCATTCCTGCTTGACTGAAGGATGAAAGCAAGCAGGTGAAGCTTACTGAGTCAGGCTTCTGGTCGCTCACTTCCATCAAACAAAAAAGATCAATCGCATCTTTTGCTCTTCCATGCATGGCATAACCACCCAACATTGCATTCCATGATACTACATTCTTAATCGGCATTGCGTCAAGGACAACCCGGGCCTCTCTAACTCTACCACACTTAGCATACAAGTCAATGAGAGCACTGCCAACGTACACATCATGTGAAATTCCACTTCGAAGAGAGAAGCTATGGGCTGATCTCCCATTCATCAAAGAAGCAATGTTGGCACACGCAGGCAAAAGGCTAGGGATAGTCACAGAATTTGGTCGAATACCGACACCCTGCATCTCCCTAAAGAACTCCATTGCTTCCACATCCTTCCCATTCTGAGCACAGCAAGCAACAATGGAGGTCCATGACACAACATTCAGCTCAATTCTCTGCTCTTGAAACCTCCTAAACCTCATCACAGCCTCGCAGACAAGACCATTTCGAGCAAACCCAGCAACAAGGGCATTGCAAGATCCAACATCCATATGACCACCTTCATCAAACACCTTACTCATCTCCTCCGTAACCCGGCACTTCCCATACATGTTGATGAGTGCACTCACCACACAAACATCTGAATTGAATCCATGCTTAATGCTACACCCATGAATCTGCAAACCCACCCAAGAATCTTCTACATCCCCCACCGCAGACAGAGCGCTGGAGACACCGACACTATCCAACCCACACCCCTCAAAATGCATACTTTGAAGCATGGAAAGTGCTTCGTGGGGATGCCCGCTTCGGCTAAATCCTGCAATGAGGCCATTCCAAGTGACCGAATTCGGCTCCACCCCAGACATCTGCATCTGATAAAGGAGCCTCTTTACTACGGAAACACTGCCACGAGAAGCAGCATCAGCGAGCAAGGCACTATAGGCTACGACAGATGGTTGGGGCATTCTGCCAAACACTTTGTGTGCATCATTTTGGACGCCACACTTCAGGTACAGGTGGAGGAGGGAGGACAAAATGACGGGGTCATTGCAAAGTCCTGAAACTACAGCGAACACGTGGAGACTCCGGCCGGCAATGAGGGAAGTGAGTGCGGCGCAGGCCTTGAGAGCTGAGGGGAGAACGAAGGGGTCGAGGAGGAAACGGAGAGAAAGCATGCGGGGGAGGAGGGAGAGGAAAGAGAAGGGAGAACGGGAAAGGGAGGAGATGAGAGAGGAGAAGGAGAAGGTTTCGGGTTCGGGAAGGGATAAGAGGAAGGCGGTGGCGTCGGTGAAGCGGTGGTGGGTGACGTAAAGGGAGAGGATTTTGGCGGCTAGGTGGGCGTCGGCGGTGAGGCCGGACTTGAGGAAGTGGGAGTGGGCAAGCTGGGTTTGTAAGAAGGAAGGGGAAGGGTGAAGGTGGAGGAAGTGGAAGGATCGCCGCGCCATGGGTGGCGGGCATTTCCTTGGAGGGGAGAATTTTTGAAAGTTCGAAGAGTTATTCAACCTTCGTTACCAACAAATCATAGTATTAGATGTTTTGTTGGCTTAAAAAATAAGCATAATACAATGCAAAAGGAATATAACATAAAAAATTAAATTCATTTGAAATAGTGTAAAATAAATTCATGTGAATCATTTTTTATTTAACTTAAGTAAAATGAATGTAGTGTAAAATTTAAAATTGGTGATGACCAACGGGTGATGACGATGGTGGGCGGTGGTGAGCGACGACGACGGGTGCCGGCAACGATGGAAAAAGGTGGAGATTAGGAGGGGAGGGGGCCTATTGGCGTCGTCTTCCTGTATAAGCCCAAAAAATTTCTGCTTTTTTATATCCAAGGGCTTTCTTCCCTGTATGAAGCTGACCCCTCGCTGCGCTCCAAACTCCCCATAATCTTGGACAATTTACAAATCTATGTAATAAAGACTCAAAAGTAGATGTAGTGGGACAAATTACCTACATAATCATATAATACATTTTTTAAAAAAAAAAATTCAGGGAAGGTAATTGTGCATCCCCCCGACATAAGGTGGATCCGCCCCAGCATATGTTATGCTGAAATGCATGTTATGCCAAGTGAACAGTAGCCATATGCATGTCATGTATTTCATATTCATATTTAGTATATTAGCTCTTCATCAAACATCTTATCAATAATCTACATCTTAATCAAAAAATTCAAGCTTGCATGTAGATACAGATGCAGCAAAGTCAATTGTTGGATGAGTTGCAAAAATTGAGGGAGTTGTTCAGTAAAGCAGTCAGCATCAGTAGATACAGTAGAGGAGGATGTTGATGAGACAAATTCTGATGGAATTTTTTTTTTTTTGTTATTAGTGGGCATTTCATTTCTATGTTAGACATTTTATTTCTATGTTTATTTATTTTATTGTCATTTTTTTTTGTGCAATGAACTTTATGTTTATTTTTAAACTCTTTGATGATTGCTCAATAATATTTTGTGATCAAATATGTTATTACATGCATGTAGCATGTGTTTATGTTCAATGTTTGAATGTGAATATGACATGTGTATATTTTTTATGCATGATTGTTATGTTATAGAAAACATATGAGGGAGTGCCATTTTTTTATTTATGATACAAATTTCCAATAGAATATTCTAAAAAAGTTGGAGATACAATGAAATGGTATCATTTTTCCAACTGAAAAAATTTCGCCGGCTCGGCGGATAAACCATCGGAAAGGTCCTCCGGTTAGTTCCCAGCAGTATGTTTCTGCCGAAAATTCCTGCGGATAAACTGTCTGGAAGAGTAATTCGTAAACGACGAATATTTGTACAAAATTATGTCAGGATTATGTCGGTAAATACAACAGAAATATCACAGGTGGAAATTTTCTGCTAGAACAAACTTTCCGACACTCATTTTACCGTCAACCATATCCCCGCCGGTAATTCGCCGGAAATGCATAATTTCCGACAGAATTCCTCGTTTTCCAGCAGATTTAAGCTGCGATAATTTGAGGTTTCCCTCTAATTTATACCCAATTGTTACAGCCTGTTTCATTTTTTCATAGGTTAATCATGCAATTACATGACAACGTGCTTGTACCTACACAACAGGATATATAGCCACATCATAGTGTCCTCCTACCTCAAATATGACCTGAGTTCTTCAAATTCTAATACCAATTAAAGTAAAAGCAAATATGAAATTGAATTGAAGGAGCCAGATTCTCCTTCAATTGGACAAACGAAACCAGAATGAAAATACCCAAAAGCAAAATATCACCAAGCAAATCCCCCATTCCAAATATTCCCCAATATAAGAAGGCAGCAGCCTCGAAGCCCGTAGTGGATAGCAAAAAAAAAAAGTTAAAAAGTGCTGTACGAGCAAGCAAAAGAAAATTGGCCATAGAATTACAGCTATATATATGCGCAGTTGCTCTGTTAGTCCAGCGACTATGAGCTGCTTCAAAACCAAAAGGATTCTTCCATGGCGAGCTTGGATGATGAATCCATGTGCCTCGTCAATGGGATTCGCTACAACTAATATCAACCACTTTCACGTTGATATTGTAAAGCTTAAGTAAAAGTAAACTGTAAATGCTTTTGAGTCCTCGCACCGACTTTGATGCCTTCGTTGATATGCGCTTAATGTGCATCAATAATGATATGTGGTAGAACATGGGTGACATTATGTTAAGATATCTCCTCAAAATTATTCTTTCGAATTATTGCAACTCCATCCACTCGATTAAAAATTCAAAAAAAAAAATAAAAAAAAAAAAAAAAAAAAAAAAAAACTATGTAAAAATAACCTTCCCAGATTAAAATATATATAGGTCTTATTGGTACATCTAAAACTTCGTTTGTGGTGACTTTTTTATTGCTTTCTGAAAAAAAAAAATTTAGTACAAATATTTTTTAAACAAGAAATTTTCGTACTATAAATCAGCTTTAGAAAACAATAAGAAAATTATTCCAAATGGAACGACTTTCTTACTGCTTCTTAAAGCAGCTTTTCAGTACAAATGTTAAAATTTTGATACAGTAAGAAAGTCTAATATTGAATTTTAATTAGATATATAATTATTATATTATATGTTATATAAATGCTATATAGATATATTAAATATTGTTAAAGAGTGTGAATTAAAGGAGATAAAATTTGTATTAAATACTAATTATTTTTACTCTAAAAGTTTATGCTTATAAATGGCTAACTGGTGAGAGCAAACTACTGAGAATTTTTACATCAAATACTTTTCAACTATTTGATGGTTTTTTATAACTCGACCATACTTAAAAAACGAGTTAAATGACCCATGAGCAATAACTGAATAAAAATTTGTTTAAATAAATTAAAGAACTCTAAACAACACGTGATAATAGTTTCTTTTTCAGTGTTAGATCACTCTGCATCAACTATCATTGTTCCTCAAATAGAAGTTAATTAAATGAAAGCACATGTACTTTGACTTTGCTCAACCAAAGTACAAATCACCAAAGGCAATCAAAGCCATAAATTACATGAACGCCTTTAATTCCAACAAAATCATCATCTCTAATAGCACTAATTAGGGAATGTGAACATAAATGAGACTAAAACTAGATCAAATATACCAACAATCAAATTCGTATCTAATCGAAAAACTTAAGCCTATAAGTGAGAGATAATTACTGTCATTCCGATCACTGTCGCCTATTGATTACAATCCTTCCTACCACCGTCACTGACTATGGCATTTTCGTCCTCCATTGCGCTACTACAATCCTTTCAACCACAATCGTCCAACTATTATCTTTCAAATCTCCATCGCTCGCCACCTACGGTCTCTTCGAACACCATCTCCTGAGGTCTCTTCAAACACCATCTCCTGATTACAATCTCCCCAACCGCTCCTAAATACGATCCTTCCGACCACTGTCACTCATTGACTATGATCTCTCCAACCACCATCTCCAGACTACGGTCTTCTCGAGCGTCGTCTCCTGACTATGGTCTTTTCATCCACAGTCACACAACTACAGTCTTTGAAACCTCCGTTGTCCTCTAATTACTTACTTTCCGACCACAGTCACCAGACTACGGTCTTTCCGACCTCCGTACGTCGTCCACCAACTACGGTCCTTCCGACCACCATCACCCGACTACGATATTTCCAACCTCTATGCCCGAACATGTCAATACTGATTCTTCCAACTCCCACCATGCATGTAATGCACTCTATATTATGTATATTTGCTACATTGAGCCAATGTCTTCCCCCAAGGAAGTGCCTCATTTGTAATCAACTGCAAACACTAGTGAATTCATTTAAACTGAGCAAGACCCCCATGATTTTTCTCCATTTTCAGGGGTTTCTACGTAAAAAGTTTGTTGTTTCTTATGAACGCTACATCCATATCTTTTATTTGTTTGCGTGCTTGATCTTTATACAAAATTAGGACGTTAAAATTTATATACCTCCATGAATATTTTTGGATGCAATAGCAATAAGAGCAATAATAATAATAATAACAAGGAAGATGGCTATTTTCTCATTGATAAGACTGTTATGCTGATAAGATTCGAGATTAAAACGCTACACGGTGATCCTTTTGTATGCTTTTATTAATCTATCCTCTCAACCGGCTCACCTAAGAGATTCCAGAGAAATATTGTGATCGATAACAGGGCCCCACATTTCGCTGCTTCTTCAACTATTCCTTATTGCTGTATTGTCTTAGTCATTTTCAAGACGATGCCCTACAGACAAGATTGTTAATCATTCGACAGCTAGAATGGATTCCATGTGAAGTTATTCGATTAAATTTTGAGCCTACTCGAACGTAGCAGCTAGAAATAATCTTAATAATAATAAGCTTGGAGCAATTATTTTATTTTATTTTTCGAATGATCGTTATATTCCTCATCAGCTACGAGCTGTTTAAAATTGTGTTAACATATGGTTTGATTAGTACCTTTAGCCCTTTGATATAATATGTTTGAGGTTGTCGAAAATGAATGGTTAAAAATCTTAATCCTCAAGTCAAGGTTGCCATGGGATTGGATGGAGCTGGGAGCCCTCCTCTTGGAGGTTTTGATGAAAGATGCCCCCAAAAGGTGTTTATTATTTATGATTTTTTTCATTAACAATATTTTAAAAATTATGTCATATTTCTTTAACTATGTTATGTTCATTTATTATAAAATGATATCATCTTAGGTTATAAAGCAAGGCCCTATATAAGGTCCTAGTTGGGTCCCCACGCCCACCCATAGTGACTTTCGGGATGTTGTTCCCACCCATACTCACCACTTTCTGTGCTTTTTGAATGTAGTCTGCCATGGACTAATGACATTGAGGCTTGTTGCCCTTTGCTATGAATTGAGATTTTCAAACTTCATATCAGAATTTGTCATGGTCACAGCACGATTCAATGCTACGCACTGCGTAGAGGATTGCAGTAATATATAACATATGGTGATTAACAATGTAAATTGATTTATCCACTGATGTTGAGTATCCACCAATAACCATTGGGTATGGATGGGCACATAGGTG